CCTTTCTGAACCCCCTTTATCCTCCAGCCCCCCCTCTCGCCCCCCCATTTCCCGACACTGTCACACTCTGCCCAGCAGTGACTTTATTGTGGGTGGCAGTGCAGCATCACACAGTGCATCTCATCCGTGACCCGGACCTGGGGGGGGCACGACGGCAGCCCCCCAGCCCCCCCCAAAAACGGCTCATGGGGGGGACCCTGCTGCCCGGGGGTGCTGGACCAAGGCTTGTGCTGGGGTCTCTACCCCCTCATGACTCTCCGGCCCCGCTCCTTCCCAGCGCTGCTGCAAGAGATGGGGGGCTGTGATGAGGAGAGGGGGCGGGGGTGGGCCCCCTGGGCCCCCCTCCCATTCCTGGCGCCCCGTCTCACCCCCCGTCCCCGCCGAAGTGCCGCAGCACGTATTCCTCGAAGCCGTCGGCCGCCTCCTCGTCGCCCCGCTCCTCCCGCGCCACCTCCTCCAGCAGCTCCTCCACGTCGTCCACGAAGTCGACGAAGCGCAGCCGATCGTGGGCGAAGGTGCCGTCGGCTCCAAAAACCTCGTCCAGCTGCGCCGCCAGCCCCCCGAAACGCCCCCCCCAGCCCAGCCGCCCCATGAAACCCTCCAGCAGCTGCAGGAACTGCGCCTTCTGCACCGGCTCCAGCGCAGCCCCCAGCACCTCCCGGCCCTCCTTGCGGGCGCAGTCGGCCACCCCCGAGCAGCCTTGGGGTGCCCGGTACCGGCTGAGGGGGGGCAGCTGGCGGGGGCCGTGCTGGGGGGGACCATGAGGTGATTTCCCCCGGGTTTTGCCCGGTTTGTGTTCCCGGGGATGGTGGGGGTCCTTCCCGTGCCCGTGGTGTTTGCCATGTTCCCTCTTCTCCCACTCGTGGGGGGCCCCCCCAGGGCCGTGCCGCTTCTGCCGCTTCTGCTCCTTCTTCTCCGCCTTGAACGGCTTCTTCCACGGCCCGGGGAAGGGCTCGGCCCCCGTCACATCCAGCTCCCGGCCCAGGCGCTGCTCCAGGGCGCTCAGCTCCTCCGCCAGCCCCGCCAGCCCCCCGGGACCCCGCGCCCGCTCCAGGGCACCCGCCAGCTCCCGCCGCACCG